CATACAAGAACTGTTTCTTTAATATTGTAAATATAGAGAGCAAATGATTCTTTGTGTTTTTCGCATAAGATGCGTCAAATTTTGATAAAATCCGACATGAATCATTTATTGCCAAAAATATAAAAATTATGTCACAACGCGTACAGTAACAGTACATACATTTATAGTACGCAAAGTCACAGGTAAAGATTATTTCTTGAGAACTATACTGAATGTTCTGGAAAAGAAACCTGATGGTGTGTCAGGATGTGGAAAATTATTCTTTGCTGTAATAGCTGGCACACCAGGACAATTTCACTCGTGTGCACAACAAATGCTTCCATTATATTTGAACGCATTAATCACTGATGATATTGAATAAGATTTGCTGTTCGAAATACTAAAAGAGACAATTAATTGCTGCATCCAAAACATACATCCAAAGAATTGTGAAATATTCTGGCCTGTGTTACTAAATATCATAAACACTTGTGTGCAAAGAAGTAAAAGTGTCCAAACTACAGATAGAAAAGGAAAAAGTTTGATACCCCTAATGCAACTGCTGTGTACAGTTATAAACTGTGTGAATTATAAACATGAAAGGTTCGTGTAGAGCCAGTACCGTTGATAAAAAAATTAATACAGATTCTATTAGCAGCCAATATTAAATTAATGTAAGAAACTTATGATTTAAACTAATGATTTATTGGGATGTTTGTACATAAATTTTTCGATACTATGGAAACCCGTGAGTAAAATTATTGCTACATATGCAAGTAAGGACAATTTTAGCATATATTCTTAACAGAACTGAAATCGAGTTGCAAGGAGACGCCAGACTATAAAACATTGCACGAATGTGATATTATTTCTGAAATAGAAATTGAAATACAAAAAGTCAAAGACAATTATGATTATCAAAATCATCAAATTCTATTGTGGAAATGTATGGGAAATTTCTCGCATTACTGTGAAATGGAGAACAGAGACATTACAGTATAATATTTATTGATTATGTAAATGATAATTTTTTCAAGACAAATTCCGAAGACGCTAATTCTTGTAGTATCTTACAGACACAAAAATTAGATACTTCTGGTAGTAAAATGGAAACTCAATACGTCTACTATGACCCCACTGATACTATGAGAATTGCAGCCGGATACAATGCTCGAAGAACTGATGGACCAAATTGTTAAGAATTTAATTTTTATTGCGAGAGTTCTAAAATCTATCAATACGTGCGACAATGCAATCGCTGATAAAAATGATAAGATAAAAGAAAAAGACGAGAACCGGTTATCTCTCCCTTGGTTGCTTAGAAGAATAAGAAAGGCCGTGAACATAGAAATAACGCGATTTCCTAAATCTAAATCAGTGATATGTTACGAAATTTTATATTATGCCTTTGTGTACTGTTATAAATAGAAATTGAAATGAAAATTGAAAACTGAAATAGAAATTGAAATACAAAAAGTCAAAGACAATTATGATTATCAAAATCATCAAATTCTATTGTGGAAATGTATGGGAAATTTCTCGCATTACTGTGAAATGAAGAACAGAGACATTACTTAAAATTATGGCTATAAAGAATGTAAAGTTATTGTATAAAGCTGTTGAATGTTTGATAGATCATTCAGCATTTAAGACTATGATATTGCTACATGTACTACGACATAGTATTACTAATGAATTTACTAATGACACGCATGTTATAAAAATATTGAATTTTCTAGCTAAATATCCTGACAGCAATATCTCCTAATACAATAATAATATATTTCTTTCGCAATAGTTTCCTTAATATATGTACACTAGATACTTCATATGAGCCGTTTATTTTGAAAGTGGCATAAGTCACTTTGTTTTTAAGTCGATATATTTAAGGGTTTGCATTTTAACACGTTTAAAATTATGGATGCTAATTTTCGAGAAGATTTACTTGTATTTGTTATCTCAGGATACTGATATTTTTCTCAGTATAAATAATTTCGTATAAACATTAAAAAATCACCACTTTTCATTACAGTAAAGTGACTTATGCCACTTTCAAAGTAAATGGCTCATATGATGTCCAAATCGACTTCTTCTTTTCGGACGTTTTTTTCACTACTTTTTTCTCTCTCATGGTAGTCGCTATCCTCTTTCTAGCTTTCTTCTTTTTTCTGTTGCCTAACTATTTTACGTTTTGCAGCTAGCTCTGAGTCTGTAAGAAACTGCAAAAGCAAGTATTTCAATATGCTCATTCTGATTCATAATATTATCATAAGTATAAAAATGTACCTGCTGCGTGCGCATCTTTCCTCTTTCAGTTTTCTTGATATCCAGTTTTTGTTGTACACGACTGAAAAACCTAATGTTTCTTCCACAAAGAAATCATTGTAGCAGCTCCTTTTGCCAATCATTGTAAACTGATATTGTGCTCTTCTGTAGATGACATTTCACGTGCGATCGGTGACATGATATTGAAAAGTATTCCATTCAACTGTTCTATGGGCATGGTTATGTCAAGGTTATGTCAAGGTTATTAGAAAATTCAATATTTTTATAACATGCGTGTCATTAGTAAATTCATTNGTGTAGATACAGAAGAGTCTCTGGAATATTTCTAAACCCTCAAAGTATCCTTTAGTCATTCAATTTCCCTATAATACGAGATATCGAAATACAATTGAATTTCGATTATCTTTTGAATTAGAATTGGTCAGGAACTTTTTTCTTAAAGCTGTAATAATCCTCTGTGAGACTGAGAACATTCCATTTCTGTACAGTTTGGTGAAAATATGTTTCGACCTCTTCTCCATCATCTTCCTCGTTCTGATGTGTGACAAGGTGAACTAACTAAAAGAAAAAAAAGAACTATGTCAGAAAAACTGCTTGATAAATACTTCACAACAAGGGCATTGTTATTTACTTATGTAGGAGCGGAAGAGTAACGACCAGGGGATTCGCAAACACGTTGAAATTTCGAAATGACCTCCGAAATCACAACCAATCGGTGTTCGCGGACTCCTGTGCGTTAACCTCACGCGGTATACAACTTCAGCGTAAGATTACGAAAATTATTGTATACTGCATTACTGTCTTTTTGTATTGTATTTTGTGTGCATCACTGTTTAATAATAAATAAAATAGTTTTCGAAACCTACTATCTCTACAATTAGCTTATGTACTTACCTGAAATGTATTTCATTCTTTATGACGAATTGGTCTTATTCTTCATGATGGTAAAGTACAGAAAAACTTCACGTTTGATGATTCAATATATCCAAAATTAAGAAAACAGAAAAAATCAATTTATACTAATCTGCCCACACTCGCGCGTATCATACATCGAAATAGGTACTAGAAGATACAACGCGATGTTAACTATTCGGAAGTTGGAGATTGAAAAACCAAATACACGACAGCACAAACCTTCCAAGCTAGAACAAGCACTGCCGTCGCTAGCGGTAGAGCGGTCAAGCTTGGCGGGGGCAATATGGCGGCGTTTGAAAAACGCCGCGCGAAGTTTGAACGTTGCAATGTGACTTAGACTAGTTTTTACAATCTATTATTTGTTTTAACAATGAGTAAAATATTTGGAGGTTTCCTTCAGACCGCCATATTGCCTCTGTTTCATCCTCTGCTATTCCTTCTCTTCCTGCCGAGCCTCGCTTGCCACCTTCCCCTGGTTTAGAAACCTAGCGCGTGGCAGAACGGGCTCATGAAGCAGGAATCAGTTTCATGAAACTCAGTTTATGAAACGGTTTTGACGACATGGCAACATAGCGGCGAGGAATGAAATGTGGCAATCATGTTTAGTCGCTATCCTTCTCTTTCAGCTTTCTATTTCTCTTCCGCTACATTTTTACCGACACATCGTGTTCGATACCTGTGGTCACAGAAACATATGCGTGTGCCACCAGGCGGTGGAAAATATTTCTAATTTGGTTTGTCTAATGTCCGTTCGCACAACTGCAGCGCGACGATCAACTCCGTTAAGGTCGAATACGCGCTTCCCGAGTTAACCGTTCCTCTCAATCTCAGAGTTCCGAACAGTTAACATCGCGTTGACTCTTCTATACCTCCTATACCATAGATTACAACTCTAGATTACAACGTGTGCTGTTAACCTTACTTCCATAAAGTATTCTTACATTTATTTATCCGCTTTTAACAATTTAACTATGACGAAAAAAGTCTTAGAACGTAAAAGGAAAGTAGAGTTAAATAAGGAAAATGTACCAGAAATAGAAACGTTGCCAGCGAAAAGAATGTCAGATGAACCGCTTTCGAAAAAGGTATGAAAATATTTTTATTTGTTATGAAACAAAATATGTATATTTGTAGGATATTTAATTGAACACAAGTTTAGCCTTAAAAAAGCGTGATTTGATAAATATAAGAAAATTTGATTATTTAGGTAAAATGGATTAACAAGCAACGGGTATTGGTTTTCGCTACTAGAGGAATTAGTTATAGACATCGTCATCTTATGGATGATTTGAAAACTCTTATGCCTCAACATCGCTCTGAATCAAAAATTGAACGCGCTAAAAATTTACAAGTTGTAAATGAAATATGTGAAATGAAAAATTGTAATAAAACAATATTGTTCGAAGGCAGAAGAAAAAGAGATCTCTACATGTGGTTTTCTAATATTTCTGATGGACCCAGTGCTAAATTTCTTGTAGAAAATGGTATGTATTATAATATATTAATGAACTATTATAGTATAATTAATTATGAACCAAAAGAATCTATTAACCCCTTGACCTACAATGACGGGAATAGCCCGCGTACGATGATCGGGCCAGAAGTAAATATTACGGGCATAGCCCGCGTACGGTGATCGGGCCTCCTTCGCCTCCTTCGCGACCTCCTTGCGCACCGGCGCCGCCCTCTTCAGGGTCACCTTCTCCTCTGTCCAAGGTTTCGGCTGCTCCGGTGCCTCGATCTTCTCTTTCCGGAGCTTCTTCACGTCCTCCGTCCGCGACACGTCCAGCAACGACGTGTCCTCCTCTTCGACGTATTCGGAAGTCGCGACCGTCTCTTTGACCACTTCTTCAGGGACTGCTCTCGGAGGTCACTTGGTCCAGACTCGCCTTTCGCACCGGAGTCTTCGCAATCTTCGAAGGTTTCAACTCGACCGTCTCCAAGGTCTCCTTCTCGATCTCCTTTCTTACAGGCTTCGCCTTCTTCAGGGTCACCTTCTCCTCGGTCCANCATAGCGGCGAGGAATGAAATGTGGCAATCATGTTTAGTCGCTATCCTTCTCTTTCAGCTTTCTATTTCTCTTCCGCTACATTTTTACCGACACATCGTGTTCGATACCTGTGGTCACAGAAACATATGCGTGTGCCACCAGGCGGTGGAAAATATTTCTAATTTGGTTTGTCTAATGTCCGTTCGCACAACTGCAGCGCGACGATCAACTCCGTTAAGGTCGAATACGCGCTTCCCGAGTTAACCGTTCCTCTCAATCTCAGAGTTCCGAACAGTTAACATCGCGTTGACTCTTCTATACCTCCTATACCATAGATTACAACTCTAGATTACAACGTGTGCTGTTAACCTTACTTCCATAAAGTATTCTTACATTTATTTATCCGCTTTTAACAATTTAACTATGACGAAAAAAGTCTTAGAACGTAAAAGGAAAGTAGAGTTAAATAAGGAAAATGTACCAGAAATAGAAACGTTGCCAGCGAAAAGAATGTCAGATGAACCGCTTTCGAAAAAGGTATGAAAATATTTTTATTTGTTATGAAACAAAATATGTATATTTGTAGGATATTTAATTGAACACAAGTTTAGCCTTAAAAAAGCGTGATTTGATAAATATAAGAAAATTTGATTATTTAGGTAAAATGGATTAACAAGCAACGGGTATTGGTTTTCGCTACTAGAGGAATTAGTTATAGACATCGTCATCTTATGGATGATTTGAAAACTCTTATGCCTCAACATCGCTCTGAATCAAAAATTGAACGCGCTAAAAATTTACAAGTTGTAAATGAAATATGTGAAATGAAAAATTGTAATAAAACAATATTGTTCGAAGGCAGAAGAAAAAGAGATCTCTACATGTGGTTTTCTAATATTTCTGATGGACCCAGTGCTAAATTTCTTGTAGAAAATGGTATGTATTATAATATATTAATGAACTATTATAGTATAATTAATTATGAACCAAAAGAATCTATTAACCCCTTGACCTACAATGACGGGAATAGCCCGCGTACGATGATCGGGCCAGAAGTAAATATTACGGGCATAGCCCGCGTACGGTGATCGGGCCTCCTTCGCCTCCTTCGCGACCTCCTTGCGCACCGGCGCCGCCCTCTTCAGGGTCACCTTCTCCTCTGTCCAAGGTTTCGGCTGCTCCGGTGCCTCGATCTTCTCTTTCCGGAGCTTCTTCACGTCCTCCGTCCGCGACACGTCCAGCAACGACGTGTCCTCCTCTTCGACGTATTCGGAAGTCGCGACCGTCTCTTTGACCACTTCTTCAGGGACTGCTCTCGGAGGTCACTTGGTCCAGACTCGCCTTTCGCACCGGAGTCTTCGCAATCTTCGAAGGTTTCAACTCGACCGTCTCCAAGGTCTCCTTCTCGATCTCCTTTCTTACAGGCTTCGCCTTCTTCAGGGTCACCTTCTCCTCGGTCCAAGGCTTCTTCGCCTGCTCGACCTGTTCCTCGATCTTCTCTTTCCTGAGTTTTCTCACTTCTTCCGTTTTGGACACGTCCAACAGTGCCGTGTCCTCCTCTTCAAGGTACTCGGTCTTCCGGGTGACCTCCTCGGTGACCGATTTCAGGTCGACTCTCTCCAAGCTCGTCTTCCTGACCTCCTGTCTGACGATCTTCGACGGCTTCAATTCCACCGACTCGACGGTCTCCTTCGGGATCTCTTTCCTCTCCGGCTTCGACCTCTTCAGGGTCACCTTTTCCTCCGTCCACGGCTTCGGCTCGTCCGCCGGCCTTCGCTGGACCGTCTCGTCCACCTGCCGAGTCGTTTTCAGAAGCCTCGTGTCCTCCTCCTCGGCGTAAATCTCGTCCGCGGTCTTCTCGCGGCGGGTCTCTTCATCTATTCTGACGATGTCCTTGGTCGTATCTTTCAAGACCGGTCGCAAGTCGACCGGCTCCAGACTCGGCCTTCTGATCTCTTTTTTCTCGATTTTGGCAGGTCTCAACTCGACTTCCTCTAGCTTTTCTTTGGGAAGCTCGCGCGGCATGTGCGGCGTCCTTTTCAAGGTGCCCGTCATGTTTACAATTGCCCGGATTGGCGTGTTACACAAGTCGTGCGAACGTCCCAAACGCTGCGCGAGATTGTATACAATTTCGGCCCAACATCTTCGAATCTAAATCGTAGGTTAAGGGGTTAAGAGTCTTTTCACAAAATAATATAAACTACATTTATAAGATTCTTAAGGACATAGTGAAATAAATATTACTTTCAAATTTTCTTTGGGAAAGAAGTAGTAGCTTCTTAGTCGATAAAAACATTAACATAAAAATTTCATAATTTAGAGTATTATAAGCTTCATAACAAATAATATTTTTTTATTATAGTATATACAATGGGGGAATTAAAAATGACTGGAAATTGTTTAAAAGGTTCTCGTCCTTTATTATCATTTGATGAAAATTTTACCAACAAAGCACATTATAGTCTCTTGAAAGAATTACTCGTTCAAATATTTGGTGTGCCCAATCATCATCCGAAAAGTCAACCATTTTTTGATCATGTGTATACATTTAGTATATTAGACAACAGGATATGGTTTAGAAATTTTCAAATTTTAACTGAAGATGGTGGTTTAGCTGAAATTGGTCCAAGATTTGTTTTAAATCCAATCAAAATATATAGTGGAAGCTTTGGAGGAGAAGCACTATGGGAAAATCCCACTTATATTTCACCAGCAAAGGTATCGTGTAACAATTATTTTATTATATAAGCATATTCACGATAGCGTATTTATTACAACTTCCATTTTACAGTTCCGTCAATCTATAATTAAAAAAGCTGCTGATAAATATGTAAATAAGGTGGAACAGAAGTTAGTTCAAGAAATCAGTAAGCCGAAAAAATCATATTCTTTAAATCCAACCGATGAGATATTTAAAGGTGACCTGTTAGAAACAGCAAAAGAATTAGAAGAAACGGAAGCAAAAATAATAGCAACTAATAAACCTAACAAAACCAATAAAACTAAAAGACCAAGATTAAAAAATAATGTTACAAAACAACTTATAAAGAAAGTAACTGAAACCAATTTGAAAAAGAAAGCAGGTTTGAAAAGGAAAACACGTTTGAAGACAAAAACACGTTTGAAGAAGAAAACAAAAAATTAATGAAATAATTGTATTTACAATATTTTGTATATTATGCTGTAATAATAATGTTTTTATTAAATATATCATATACTGTAATTTTTATTTTCTACTACCAATACAATATGTAGATTGCATTAAGACAAAGCATATTAAAATTTCACATCTGGTGAATTTTTCATCTGTGGTATATACGTACATTGCGTACACAAAGAAATAGTATGAGGCGCGTGCGCATTTTATATGTGTATAACGGTACGCGTGGTGTGAAGAAACCGGGAAAGCATATACAGGTTGTTCCAAAAATGTCCCGTAATCCGAGAATGGGAGGTTCCTGAGGTAATTTGAAGTAAGTTTGTCCTTGGCGAAAATGCAACCCACGGCTTTGTTTACGAGTTATTAACGAAAAAGTGTGACCAATGAGAGGTGAGATTGCTGGCGCAAGGCGGCCAAGCCAATGAGCGGAACTGGGCTTCGTGCGCTCATTGGCTCGGCCCCCAAACGCTAGGCGAGCTCGCCTCTCATTGGTCAGTGTTTTTCGTTAATAATTCGTAAACCGTAAACCGGTTGCATTTTCGCTAAGGAAAAGGTTGCTTCAAGTGCTCCCAGGAGCTTCACATTTTCGGTTCGCGAGACAGTTTTGGGACACCCTGTATAAACGTGTCGATCACGTGTGATTCAGATTCTTGTGTATGTTAAGTAAGTACAACAATATTAAGCTATAAATATTGAAATTGTTTGTGATTCTATCAATTTTCAAGATTATATGAACAAAACTTTGTTTCTATATGAAAATAGTGAACTACATACATGATTATCTGTCGACCGACATATGTCCAGTGACACATGCTGCTCACGTTGCGTGGCATTGTACAAAAAATCTGTCAAAGAGTAATATAATGCGATTCATAATGTCTCTAAAATAGTTGAAAAATATATTGATTGTTGTCCTACTGTGATCTTTAATTTTGAACAATTCATTAAAATATTTGGAGGCGTGGCGTGTATAGCAAGTATATATGAGTATGCTTTCTTTACACACGTGTTGGATACACGTGCACATAGTGTAATCTGTGTATGCACAAGTATATGTGTGCGCGTGCAGGCGTGAATTGTCCCTATAAGAACAAATTCGACATGTGCATTTAAAATCGTATAATAACTGTTAACATCGAAGATAATTTTGTAAACTAAACCTATGTCAGAACGTTATATTGCATTACGCCTGTCAAATTGTGGTTATGTGACAAGTTCTTTTCTTACACTCCAATAAAATAACGGTATCTCGTGTCTTCGTCGGTCTTCGGAATTTTCCCGTTTGCAGTGGGTAATGTGGATAAATTTCAGGTTTTACATTAAAATACACCTAACTTTAGTCATGAAGTTTTCGATAGTGCATAAATATTTAAAAATTAAATGATAATCTGAAAGCAGGATTAATTTCAATACCTGTATACCAAGATTTGTGTCACATTACGATTGTTTCGAACATAACCTTAAAGAAACGCGTGGCCGCTTCATATCACTTTGACAAATTTTCTTCTTATTGTTTTTGTACATTTACAATTACAGGTTGATAATACAGGATAACCAATTGTGTAAACGCTTGAAGTTTTATCATGGAGACGGGATTTTTAAATTTTCATGATGAAGAACACTTTTCGGATTTTTCATTACCTTTGGAACAGGTAATGTGTTTATCATATTTTCATGAAAAGTAAATAGTTTGGTGTTCGCAG